CTTTTTACCAATCTGGGTTGACTAAAGAGATAAGAGTATGAGACCATAATGGATGAGCATGGTTTTCCTTTAAAATAGAGTGTAGCCCTGACCGGTTTGGCTCAGTGGGTGGAGAGTCGGCCTGCAGACCCAAGGGACCCAGGTTCGGTTCCGGTCAAGGGATACCCAGTGGGCTGTGTGCAGGAGGCAGCTGATCGATGTTTCTCTCATCGATGTTTCTAACTCTCTATCCCTCTCCCTTCCTCTCTGTAAAAAATCAATAAAATACATTTAATAAATAAAAAAAATAAAATAGAGTGTATTTATAGATACTATATACTAGTTCTGTACTGGCAGCCTTAACTTTCTTTTCCTTGTTAAAGGTAAATTCACATCTCATTACTGTACAGAATGAGATGTAAGCCAGTTCTTGCATTCAGGTCTTTGCTGATGCCCTCGTATGAGTGCCACTCAGATTTCAATAACAGACTCTCAGGTTTTCCTGGCCATAATAATGAAACACGGCCCTGCCCTGGCATGATTTCTAGTGCCCAGTTCTTACCTTCGTTCTCATCTACTTGTCTTACAGTATTGCAAACACTGACCTCCCAAATGGATCTCTGTCATCACATAATATGTGGTGGTTTCTGATAACACAGAAGCTGTGCCCATGGAGTAGGAACACAAATATTTCTAGCTTTGGCCTCCGTAGAAGAATCGATTTTCATTCACACAGCACAGCAGTTTTGTGTGTGTGCTCAGGGGACTCTAACAAAATTGGAGGCAAATGAAAACTTTGCAAGGACAAAGCCACCTTTATTTCTTTTACGCTGGAGGGAAAGGCTTGGGCACCCAGGTGGAAAATATAATCTGGCAAAAAATAAGAGGGCCATTAATTTTCATTTAGCTATAAGCATATTTTGGATTAACTCAGTTGGTTAAAATTAAAAAGGTCATAACTACTAAGCACTTCCTTTTCTTGTCTTTAGTTGCATTACTTAGTGAATATATATAACAGACACCCCCTAGCCCCCCAGAAAAGAGCTTGTGGTAGCTGTGAACATCATAGCATCTGTCCAGCCCAGAGACCAGGTTGGGTTCTGGCCTTCAGCTCACTTTATATCAAAGGTTTAATCTTTCGAAAATGTGCTTTGGAACAAGATCACTAGTTTGTCTCAAGGTGCGCTAGCGAACACTCCCTCCTCCAAGTCATTGCCGCACAGAACTAGGCGCGCTTAGCGGTCCTTCTAGTGCAGTGGTTCTCAACCTTGGCTGCACATTAGAATCGCCTGGGAATCTTTTTAAAATCCTGATTTCTGGGCCTCATCCTCCAGAAATTCTGTTTCTTTGTTACTAATGT